CCACTGGAGGTTATTTACATAGATATCTATGCCGGCCAATTGGTCCTTAGAAAAAACTGAAAGACCTTCATACATAACAATATGTCTTCATAGAAATCTTTGGGGTCCCTATATAGACCATAAACCTTCATAAAGGCCTGAGGTGCCTATATACAGACAAATTGGTCTGTATAAAGACCTGAGGATTGGTCCTTAGGAAAAACTGAAAGGCCTTCATACATAACAATATGTCTTCATAGAAATCTTTGGCGTCCCTATATAGACCATAAACCTTCATAAAGGCCTGAGGTGCCTATATACAGACAAATTGGTCTGTATAAAGACCTGAGGAACCTCTTTACGACCAGTTATTGTTTTCTATCTATGCAGACCAAAAGGTCCTTACAAAGGGCTAAGGCGCCTCAATACTGACCAAATGGTCTTATAAATTCCTAAGGAATTTCCATAAAGATCAATTAGAGATTTGAGAGGTTTCTATACCGACCAATTAGTCTTAATAAGGACCTGAGGGATCCCTATACAGTCCAATTGGGACTATACAGACCAATTGACTCTTACAAACATCTTAGGGGGCCGGCCTCTATAGTCCATTTGGTCTTTATCCTGGTCCTGGAGCTCTCTATACAACAAATTGGACTTTGTAAATATCTGGTGGAACTTAATTCAGATCATTTGATCTTTATAAAGTCCTGACGGGCCGCTATACAGACCATTTCTCCTTTGCAATAAATTAATTGTGTTTCCAAATTAATATGATCTTTGGACACAGTTTCCTTTAAAGGAGACCCAATAGCATTCTTAAATAAACTTCAAAATATATAAAAAAAAGTGAAGGTACTTCTTATTGAAGAACTAGAAGTCCGTGGAGTGCAGAAAGTATTCTCTCTCCACTCTTTCTTGTTTTACTTACTTTTTATATTTCACCATAGTACTGGAGGTTGTGTTCTTCCCCATCAACATTTCAGCAAATTCCGGATTCAATTCTGTCAACGATTTCTCCATAATATCTTTGGGTTTCAATGAATAATTTGTTGATTTTGAAAATTCATTAAAGAGACGCTTCTTAATATCATTCTCGGATATTGGATGTGAATGAGAATTACTTAAATATACAACTTTCAAACTATTATCATCTTGCGTGGTAATTGTGGTAACACGGGCGGGACATTTAAGCAGCTGATCTTTTGATTTAATGCACGACCAATAAGTCCTCGATGTGGGCGATATACTTTTCAAATGATAAATATAACCATCGACGCACAACAGCTCACCACCCTTGGCCGAACGTAATTTGGAGACTTTTGTGATATCAATATTATCGGGATTATAGGACTGTTGGGAGTAGCGTATACCACGAACAGGGGGTATATAATTGGGGGATGCCTTCATTTTCTTCGGTTGGGGTGAATATTCTTCGTCACCATTGAAATCAGCATCCTCTTCGCTGGCATCATTCTGCTCATAATCCATGGAGCGTTTGGCTTTACGTTTAATTCTTCCCCCATTAGTCTTGGGTAGTGGTATGTGATTTTGTGTTTCACATTCCTCCTCCTCATCATCTTCGTCTTCCTCCTCTCCGGCGAAAAAAACACTTTGCTGGTATTGTGAGGAGCTATTATTGTGTACCCTTTCCATTTCAACATATTCAATGGTATCATAAAATGGATCCATTTCATCTTTATATTCTGCCATTACCTCCTTGGCATCAATGACATCCTCACGAATTTCTTCTTCCTCCTCCTCCATTGTGGTTGTTTCTTGTTTTACTTTTTTGGGATTCTTATTTAAACGTATAAATTCGGATATGTCAATAGTGGTGGAATCAAGTTCACCACCACCAGCATCACGACCAGCTTCTTCCTCATCCGAAGATTGATACAAGGGATTGTCATCGAGACCAAACGAATCATCAGCATCGCCATCATTTTCACCTTCCAATTTAAATAGTTTGCCAATTGCCGTTGTGTTTCCCGACAAATGTTTCATTCCTAATCTCGTCTCAATTTGACGTCTATGATCCACGGTATGGCTATGTTCTCCCGATACCTTGATAATTTGTATTTGTTCTCCCTCACCATCGGTTGTTATGCGAGAATTGCATCGTGTATTTTTACTACGACGAAATAGACAGGTCCAGTAAATGTGACCATTACGCACCCCTCGAGAATCAAAATGATATATCATGTTCTCCATTACCAAAACACGGTTGCCCTTAAAGGATGGCAAGAAGGAGAACAACTTTACACCATTTTCGCCCATGGGATTTTTCAACACCTCCCGTGGGTCCTTGACATAACGATACATTGCCGCCGTTAACGTAGATTTATCCTGACGTGTACTATATCTCATTTTGGTCTTGGCCGGTATTTCAATATTTGTAGAAATTGAGAGGACCCCACCACTTCCATGGCTAACCGACAAGGGTTTCGCTGCAGATTTTTGTGTTTTTTTCTCAAAGGCCTTTTCTTTCACCTCCCCTTCTACCTTCCCAATTGCCTTTTGATCTTCTTTACCCTGTATGATATTGATATTATTCCTTCGTATGAGGGCATCAATTTTCGCCTCTGAATATGGCTGGTGATTGTGTTTATTCTCCTCCACCCTGAAGGGTTTGTAGCGATGCATGCCGCTGGCCAAACACTCGGTGTAAATCCGGCCCGAACATTGCAAATCTTTGGAACGAAAACATTTCCAACGATAGGTACAGCTCAACATGGATTTGCCGTCCAGGCGATAGACACATCCCTCCACGGCAATCATGTGGTAACCCTTGGTCGTTTTCAACATCAAAACGGCTTTGTCGGCGAGGGGTTTTGGTTTGGGCATTAACTCAAAACTGCTATCCATTTCAATGATATCATCAACACTGGAATTGCAATCCTCCTCTTCCGCTGCATCATTATTATCATCCGCTAAGGGTTTAATTTTCTTAGCCACCGAATCGTTACCCCCTCCTCCTCCACCTCCCTTTTGCATTTGATATTTCCTTTTCATTGACTTGTTGCTCAAGGTACAGGGCAGACCCTCAGCATCGGCCTGACGTTTCTTTTCCCTTGCCCGTATTATGGTACTCTCATCGGCCGGACCATGCGGATGTTCACCAATCATCGATTTCAATTTGTGGCGCGTCAAATCGCATTCATCTATTAAAGTGGTATGGATTCTCACACGACATGGTGTCTTATCTTTGCGGCGGGAACAAACCCAACGATATGTTTTAGTGGTACGATCATCATAGTGATAAAGATAGCCATCTATCAATAGCATATCCTTGCCCTTGACAGATCTCAACATTTCCAATTTAGGGGATTCCATTTGGCCAGCTTTCCTGGGGATTTTTTAACAAATTTGTTCTCCAAGTGTGGGGGGAATTTTTTAGGCTCTCTTTAATTCTTTGCTTGCAGTATTTTTCACACACCTGAATAAATATATTTTAAACATTTATTAATTTAATTCCAAATAATTTTAAATGTTTTTTTTTTACCAAAAAAAATCCCCCAAAATGTATTTTTACCACCTTTGCCTGTAATGTTGACGAGTTTGCCCCCGTTTTTTCGGTTTATCATCTACAAAATGTTTTTCTGCCTTTTGTGGTATTTTTTGATATTTTCTTTCTCTGCATTTGCTGCTGGTGATTCTCTAAATATTGTCGTTTGTTTGCTTTACTGCATTGCCTTTAATCTCCGTGTGTTAGAAAGAGACGGTTATATGCGTAAAATTTTTGGTATTGTAAAAATCCCCTTAGTTCATTGTGGTGGTATTTTAATAATTGACGGCAACAAAACTGGGCATGTATTGTGGGCATTGACTGACGTGAATGATTAGGGAAAAAGAAAATGGGGAAAATAACAATACCAAACCAGAAACTGGGATGTTAACAGCTGACAAAAGGAATGTGTCTCTTATTTATTATTTTGAGTTGGTAACACTATTTTTTGTTTACTTTTTTTGTGTTGATTGTTTTGCTGTTCGTGAAATTAAATTACTGTATTTAAATAAATAAATATTTAGAAAATAATAGTGTAAAATACCCACTACTGGGGATTGAATTAAAAAATGGGCATAGAAAAGGATAATTGGGCAAAAATGGGAGAAAAATTAAATTAGAACAGGGAAAATATTTAGTGGGGAAATTTTTTAAATTTGAAAAATACAAATAAAAAGTAAACAAGGAAAATTAATTTCAAAAAATCCACGCCTGTTTATGACCCCTAAAATTATTTTTATAAAATCAAAGCCTGGTTATAGGCCCCAAAAATTAATTTAAAAAAATCCAAGCCTTGTTATAGAGCCCTAACATTAACTTAAGAAATCCTAGCCTGGTTATAGACCCGTAATATTAACTTAAAAAAATACTAGCCTGGTTATAGACCGGTAAAATTAATTCTTCGAAATACTGTAGACCCGTAAAATTAATTCTTATAAATACTAGCTTAGTTTTAGACCCGTAAAAGCTTGGTTATAGACGCGTAAAATTAATTCTAAGAAATACCAGCTTCGCGCTGGTTTAAAAATCTAAACCTACCGGAAGAACCTTAAACATAATTTGTAGTAAATCCAACTATTTTTATATATCCACAAAATCTATATTTATGTAATTTTTCTTTGTTTACAGCTTAGTTCGCTTTGTACCCATGAATGTGGACGATGAAGAAAGTATACAGGACCTATTGCTGCAAATCGACAATGTCATCCAATATGGAGAAGATGCCGATGTCAAGGTTCATGATTTTGATCCACCTGAAGAAGGTGATGAAGACAATTGTAAAAATATCTTTGATATGTAGAAAAGAAAGAAAACGCCTCTGAAAACAAATTGTTAAAACTATGTTTTAAAAATAATATTATGAAATTGTATTTTTTAAGATAAAAAATTAATTATAAATTAAGTTTTGTAATAATTAAATAAAAAAACAGTCTACTTTTTTATACACATGCAACTCCTTTCTAAAACAATCGTCCTCATGTGTTACAAATAACAAAAATAAAGTTCCAATTGAAAATAATTTTCATTTCGTCTCCTCGGTGTCCATTACCAAATTTCCCTCCTTATCTTTGAGACGCACCCGTCCATTAGAATAACGTGTCTCGGTACTACCATCCGGGTAGACAATTTTCACTGTACCATCTGGATATTCACGACGTTTTTGCAGTTTGGTGTGTATCTCTTTCTGACCATTTGGTAGAGAGAGGATTTTATCACCATTACGCATCTGCACTAGGTGAGTACCATCTGGGAAACGCCATTCTTCGGCTTTCTTTTCATCACGTGGATCGATTATTTTTACTGAATTATTTGGATAATGCACTTCCACCAAACCCGTTTTATGACGATGTTCTATCTGGCCATTGGGAAATTCCAGAATTTCCAAACCATCCAAATAGGTGGTGTGCCATGTATTTGTCTCGTGATAATAATATTTCACTGTGCCCTCATTTATGTTTGTCTCCTTAATGTCTTTGTTATAGTACAGCATCCGTATCAGCATACCATCGGCGGAGATTTTCTTTAAATTACCATTTGGATACCAAATATCTTTACTACCATCCGCATTGAGTATCTCACGTTTCAAATTATCATCATCGGGTGATTTGTTTTCATTATTCGCTGTTGATTTCGATTCCTTCATCTGGGAGGAGGATGCTGGGGATACTTTGTTTGTTGTAATGGGGGTTCGATTGTTGTTTGCCTGCAACTCCTGTAAAATATCATCATCATCCTCATCTTCACCTACTTCAGGGTATCCGCTATAGGCTGATGTATGCGGACTTTTGGGTTTTGTAACACTTTTTTGAAAACCTAGTTCCGTATAATTTTCATCCGAAGATGGAGTATCGGGAAAACTGTGCTGTTCTTGTTTCATAATGGTACGATTGCTAGCCGTCGAAGTAGTTGTATTTGTTTTTGTTATCCTTTTCGTTTTCTTAGAAGGAGATTTTGAATTTTTATTTGTTGTACCCGGTTTTGTTGTATTTTTCGATGAGGCCAGAACGGGAGGTTGATCATCGCTGGGAAATGATATTGAGGCATGTTGGGTCTGTGGAAAAATTAATGGAAAATCAAAATCCATAAAAAACAACAAAAATACCCCCAACGGCTGTCGGAGGACCCCTTAAATTAATTTTAAAAAATCAACGCCTGGTTAAAAACCCCCCACGCCTGTCGGAGGACCCCTTAAATTAATTTTAAAAAATCAACGCCTGGTTAAAAACCCCCCACGCCTGTCGGAGGACCCCTTAAATTAATTTTAAAAAATCAAGGCCTGGTTAAAAACCCCCCACGCCTGTCGGAGGACCCCTTAAATTAATTTTAAAAAATCAAGGCCTGGTTAAAAACCCCCCACGCCTGTCGGAGGACCCCTTAAATTAATTTTAAAAAATCAAGGCCTGGTTAAAAACCCCCCACGCCTGTCGGAGGACCCCTTAAATTAATTTAAAAAAATCAACGCCTGGTTAAAAACCCCCCACGCCTGTCGGAGGACCCCTTAAATTAATTTAAAAAAATCCACGCCTGGTTAAAAACCCCCCACGCCTATCGGAGGACCCCTTAAATTAATTTAAAAAAATCCACGCCTGGTTAAAAACCCCCCACGCCTGTCGGAGGACCCCTTAAATTAATTTAAAAAAATCCACGCCTGGTTAAAACCCCCCCACGCCTGTCGGAGGACCCCTTAAATTGATTTAAAAAAATCCACGCCTGGTTAAAAACCCCCCACGCCTGTCGGAGGACCCCTTAAATTAATTTAAAAAAATCCACGCCTGGTTAAAAACCCCCCACGCCTGTCGGAGGACCCCTTAAATTAATTTAAAAAAAATCCACGCCTGGTTAAAAACCCCCCACGCATGTCCCCTTAAATTAATTTTAAAAAATCCACGCCTGTCCGAGGACCCCTAAAATGAATTTTAAAAAATCCACGCCTGTCCGAGGACCCCTAAAATGAATTTTAAAAAATCTACGCCTGTCCGAGGACCCCTAAAATGAATTTTAAAAAATCCACGCCTGTCCGAGGACCCCTAAAATGAATTTTAAAAAATCCACGCCTGTCCGAGGACCCCTAAAATGAATTTTAAAAAATCCACGCCTGTCCGAGGACCCCTAAAATGAATTTTAAAAATACACGCCTGTCCGAGGACCCCTAAAATGAATTTTAAAAAAATCCACGCCTGTCGAAGGACCCCTTAAAGTAGTTTTTAAAAATCCACGCCTGTCCGAGGACCCCTAAAATGAATTTTAAAAAATCCACGCCTGTCGGAGGAGCCCCAAATTAATTACAAAATTCAATATTTAAAAAAAATTAACTCACCTGTTTCGGCGCCAATTTGGCAATATTCCGATTAATCTCCTGCAGTAATTTATTATTATTTTCCCGGCTAGCCTTGAGCATTTCATTTTCCAAACGTTTATTTTCCTTGGTGAGCAATTCAATTTGTTCATGCAGCCGTTTCTCTTCCCTTTCCATGGTGCGAATTTGTGTACGCCATCGAGCCTGAGCAGCAGCATGATTGGAATCTTTTGTCTTCAATTGTGCCTCCAGCTGGGCAACTTGTTCCCTTAGCTTTTCCATTTCTTTACGTTCTTTGCTGGCCATAGCTTGAGTTTTCATTTTACACGACTGTTCAAACTTCCGTTTGTCCTCTTCGAGTTTCATTCGTTCATCATGTAAATAGATTTCCATTTGAATGCGTTCATCGTTCAAACGTTCAGTGGCTTCCAATTGCTCCTGGGCATGTTGTGATATAAGTAATTCATGTTCCTGTTTGGCCTTCATTAATTGAGCATTGTTTTGCTTGAACAGGGCAATTTCTTTTTCCAGCTCTTCGAGACGGGTTTTAATTAATTGGGTTTTTTCTTGTAATTCCAGGGAGTTGGGTGGAAGAGGTAGCGAGGTATTTGATTCCATAAATGAATCCTTGGAGGTGAGAGTTGTTTCATCCCCTCCGCCTCCTCCTTCACTTTCCATCATGGAATTTGAGGTCTCATGTTGTTCAGCCTTATCTTGCAGGGCAGCAAAGAGGGCCTTTTTAAATTGTTCAAAAAACACATTATTCGAAAGATCTCCGGGCGTTTCGTTGGCATTGGTAAAATTGGAGAAATCACTGACCGTCTGTTCTTCATGAAATTCTCGGGTGTCATGGCACTCCGAGAAACGTACACGATTCTCTGAAGCCCTGCTGTTGGGAGTGACAAATTGTGAATTTGTGGATTCCAATGTCTTTTGTGTAGATTCTTCTCCGGCCTCGGTACTATTAGGTATAATTGTTGAGTTTTCATCATTTTCTTCCTCCAGGGAAGATGTGGATTCATCGCGATTATTCTGACCGCCACCTCCTCCAATAACAATGGGTTGTAAACGTCTTGTCCTTAATTGATCGTTAACGGGTATAACATCGGTGTCATTAAATTTCGTCTCAGTGGTACGACGTTGCATAAATTGCCGCATGCAGGTCGAGTCCATGTCAAAGCTACCATTTTTGGCTTTCTGCTCCAACAACTCAAAAATATCCTCTTCACTTTGTGGCAGATTTTGCCGATCACAACTATTTGTACGCAGAATGGGTAAGGGTTTAATTTGTTGTGAATCTAAAATTTTAGACCAGGCCAGGGCACTTGGTGGAGCTGGCCTTGCCACTTCATTATTGGGATATTTGTGAACCATTCCATTGCTATTATTATTCACAGGAGGAGTTGTCTCTACAAATCGAACTTTGGGCAAGCTATGAGAACTATTTGTCGATGTTGAGGAGGAAGAACTGGAAATATTTTTACTTGACATCAGTGAGGACTTGGTATCCGGTGTGGAATTGCATACATTTTTCGATGAGATCAACAGTTGTTGGAATCGTTTCTCATTGGCATCCAAGACATTTAATGGGGGTGAAGGAGGTCTGACATCCTGTACCTTTGGCTTTTGTACCGCTTTAGTAGTAGCCTTTTTGTTTGTCTTTGCCTTAAGCTTGGGGTGGGCATTGGCATATTTATAGCGTGGCAAATTTGTTATTCTCAATTCCTCGGGATCGATTTTAAATCGTTGTTTCAAACCTTCGCCTCTTTTCAAAAAAGGTCTCTTGGGTTTCTGTACAGCTTGTTGTGGTATATCTATATATTCCTCTGTACCATAGCCAGATGTCAGAGTTTTATATGATGACGGTTCCATGCTGTGCTGTGTGGTCAATTGATCCCTTGTGGAATAGCTGTGATTTTCATTTTCTCCATCATCATCTGGATGCTCACCACCTTCTTCATACTCCTGTCTACTCTCATCTACTTCACTTGATGCATCACCCTCCTCCTCGTCATCACCACCACCATGTAACCCCAACATTTGATACATTGTCTTTTGTTCCATGCCCAGCATTTGTCGTTGCACATTTTGCCTCAGTGCTAATAATTGTTTCTGCTCCTCCTGCCATTTGTTCAATTGTTCCAGACGTTTAACAATATCGGCCTTTTGAATGCCCCCGGCACCACTAATGGCCGCCAGCAGAGGAATGCTTGTTGACATGCTGTCATCGGTTTCGTTATGCAGCATTTTGTCAAGAAATTGCAAATTTAAAACATTATTTTAATAACTTTCTATTAAAAATTATTTAACTTTTTACGAATTTCACAAATTTCTTTAAATTGCGCGCTAATTACAAAGAATATTTTAAATTTAAATGACATCCAGTGTTGCTGAGAGGATTCATCGAAATGTTTGTAAACAATGTCACATGGTTACCGGTAATTCATATTGATTGGTTACCAAGGTGAGTAGAGTTGCCAATATTGACATATATTAATTAAAGTTGAATGGCTACATATCAAGCCATCGCAAAATAATAAAGATAGTCTCATTTCGAAAAATCCAAATACAACTATGCAATATTTGTACTTCAGCCTGTCAAATATGTACAACCATGCATGCCAACAATATAAATATTGTTGTTGTCATTGTAGAATATTTTGTTTGTTCACTTTTTTTAATTTTGTTCCAGAATAGAAAAATTAATTTATGTAGAAAAGTTTAAGGACCGTTCAACGATTTGAAATTCACAATAAGGCCCTGATTTCATCGATATATGTTTTTATGTCGGAATCCGTGGTATCTGATATTAGCATCCAAAGTTCCCTTGTGGCCAATATATTTTCCTTCTTCGCTTAAAATTATGAGTATCGAGCTTTATGTTGAAGACCATGAAAACACAAGGTCCCTATGGAACATTAGATGCTGGAAGTATTGACTTCCGCTCAAAAAAATATATCGGCAACAATTGAAAAATATCATTGTAAATACACACGAGAAGAAGACCTTCAGCTATTTCAGTTCGTCTATGAGAAGACCTTCAGCTCTTCTATGAGAATGCCTTCAGTTATTTTAGAATACATTAGTTTAGAATAGTTTATTTAAAAATATTGTTGTTGCGTGTTTTTATTAACAGTAATTGGTTTCGGCCACGAGCAGAATTTTCTTTTGAAGAACAAGTCAAAAAGCGTGTATTGTTTTAAATTAATTTTAGGGGTCTATAACCAGGGGTGAATTTATTTAAATTTAATTTAAGGGTCTATAACCAGCCGTGGATTTTTTTTAAAATTAATTTTAGGGAGCCTCCGAAAGGCGTGGATTTTTTTAAATTAATTTTAGGGTCTATAACCAGGCGTGGATTGTTTTAAATTAATTTTAGGGTCTAGAACCAGGCGTGGATTGTTTTAAATTAATTTTAGGGTCTATAACCAGGCGTGGATTGTTTTAAATTAATTTTAGGGGTCCTCCGAAAGGTGTGGATTTTTTTTAATTCATTTTAGGGGTCTATAAAAAGGTGTGGATTGTTTTAAATTAATTTTAGGGGTCCTCCGAAAGGTGTGGATTTTTTAAATTCATTTTAGTCTATAACCATGCGTGAATTGTTTTAAATTAATTTTAGGGGTCTATAACTAGGCGTGAATTGTTTTAAAATAATTTTAGGGGTCTATAAGCAGGCGTGGATTGTTTTAAATTAATTTTAGGGGTCTATAACCTGACGTTGATTGTTTTAAATTTATTTTTAGGGGTCTTTAACCAGGCGTGGATTGTTTAAAAATATGGTGGGTTATAACCTTCTTTTTTAAATATTTTTTGGCAGTCTATAACCAGGCATGGATTTTTTTGTCGGTCTATAACTTGGCATTGATTTTTTAAATATTGTTTTGGTTTTAATATATTTTCAGGCCTTATATTGTTACGGGGTTTAATGTATTGTTGTGTCCCTTTATTATTGGTATTATTGATACCTACAAATGTGGCATGCCTCCTTCAATGTCAAATGTCAAAAGAAGCAGCTGGTCCTTGGCTCGTTTGTTTTTGTTTTGAACCTCATCACGATTGGTCCTCGTCTCGTTCGCTTTGACATCATTTGTCCTCGTCTCGTTTGCTATCAACTTCCTTCATCAGGTTGGGTCCTCGGCTCGTTTGCTTTCACCTCAGTGTACAGGGTTGTAATAAGCTAATAAGCAAACTCTGAATGTGAGCTACCCTTGTGACAATGTGGCATCTCTCCTTCAATGTGTCATATTTGCTGTCAACAGCGGCAATTGTTTTGACACCCAGTGTAGGAGTCAATCACTCATATTTATTTTCATTGGAATACAATAAATAAAAAGAAAAAAAAACGAAAATATTTCAAATTAATTGCATTTTTTAAACAAATAATATAGTCAACAAAATGCCGGTAAGTTGAAGCTGTTATTAACCCAAGCAACAAATGCCCCCTTTTATGGTAGATAACCAAAGAAGGGGTGGGGTTAATGATGAAAATTTTTGTTTTTCTTTTCCATTTTTCAGTTTTGTTGTAATTGTTTCTTTCCTTTTCCTTAGGCCTATCATTCCACAATCAAAGAATTTCCCACAACAGTGGGCAATATGGCCATATTGCCATTGAGGACCCAATTTCGGGGACCAGCACCACAACAAATGAACAATGATAACGATATCATTGATGAGTCACTTTACTATTTCAAAGCGAATGTATTCTTTAGAACCTATGAAATTAAGGTGAGTTGCAATGGGATTGCAATTTTAAAAAATTAAATTAATTATTCGATTTCTTACAGTCTGAAGTGGATCGTACTTTGATTTATATAACCCTTTACATTACCGAGTGTCTGAAGAAGCTGCAACGCTGTGCCAATAAAAATCAAGGCCAACAGGAAATGTATAGCCTGGCTATATCGAAATTTGATATTCCCGGTGAGGCAGGTTTCCCTCTAAATGCTGTCTATGCCAAGCCACAAACTGCCCAGGAAGCTGGTGGGTATTTTGTATGAAATATTTTACTTAGGAAATTTGTATTAATATTTATTTCTTTTTATTCTAGATTTAATGCGCCAATATTTTCTGCAATTAAGACATGAAACCGGCAATCGTGTTTTGGAAAAGGTGTTCGGCGAAGATGGTAAACCCAATAAATGGTGGATTTGTTTTGCCAAAAAGAAGTTCATGGAAAAATCCCTGTCCGGCCCAGGACAATAAACCCTTCACAACAACCCACAAATAAAGTATTTTCTTAGTTTTATAAAACTTGACAGACAGACAGACTTCCATTTAGCAAAGAAACAAATATCGAAAAAGAGGGCATTATATTAAACTAAGCTATTTGTATTAATTTTCAATGTTTTTTTTTCTATTAAACAAAAATGTTATTAAAATCCTTTTTTTCATGTTGTTTGACCTAAGTTAAAACACAATTTTTTGTATTTTTTTTTGTTTTTTAAACTAAAAATTAAACTTTAATCCATTTAACACAACATTTATACAGGGGGAAAGTTTATTTTTGCTAAGGCCTTTAAGGCTTAACATTTATTTATGATGGTTGTTTGTTTCATTTCGTTTTATTTAACGATACAAATGATCAGCCTGTAGATTGGAGGCAATTTCCGATTCCCATTTATCACCATTGCTTAACAATTTTTCCTTATTGTATAATAATTCTTCATGGGTTTCAGTGGAGAATTCGAAATTGGGTCCCTCAACAATGGCATCAACGGGACAGGCTTCCTGTAAATTAAAAATAACATCAATGAACAAATTGTCATTTGATGAATGGTTGGTGACAATAACCCACCTGACAGAAACCACAATAGATACACTTGGTCATATCGATATCATAACGTGTTGTTCTTCTACTGCCATCGGCACGTTCCTCAGCCTCAATGGTAATGGCCTGAGCTGGGCAAATGGCCTCACACAATTTACAGGCAATACAACGTTCCTCACCACTGGGATAGCGACGTAGGGCATGTTCACCACGGAACCGGGGACTCAATGGTCCCTTTTCGAATGGATAATTAATGGTGGCTGGCTCTTTGAAAATGTGGGCCAATGTAACACCAAAACCGCGCATCAATTCACTCAAGAAAATGGTACTGGCTGCCCGATCGGTAACGTCATTTAAATCCATGCTTTCTTCTTTGTTGTTGACATAGACATAGCCCTTGGGTACATCGACAACATCTTTGGCTTCCTTGGTGCTCATGAAACGGGAGGTAACACCAAGCATGCGATTGCCTACAACCGAAATAACAAAAGTTAATTACTTCCTTTCACACATCCAAATTTTTTGTAAACATCTTCTCTTTTGTCCCATTTCCTCATTTAGGAAGCTTTTATTATATCCAATTCAATTTTATAAAGTACACTTTTCTATTTTTCTATGTTAATTATCCACAATTATCCTTCCCTATTGGCCACTGGATAACTTTTGTTTTCATTTTGATGACATAAGTGGCCCTAACCTCAAAAATACCCATCACGGACCAAAACAAATCAATATCCCTTCTTAATTATATTTATCACTTTAATTTTCTTTTTTCCGAGGAAAATATTATATTTAAAATTACCATTTCTCGAAATGGAAAACAATTTCATTGTCAAAGACATGGTATCCCGGTTTCTATCGGAACGAACTCCAAACGAAAGTGCACTCTTAATTTACTAACAAATAACTTTTACACGAAAAAAAATTGGAAATGTCAAAGCGAAATGTCAGAAAATATGGCAACAAGGGTTTCTATTGTTTTTATTGGTTTTTGTTTTGCTAAGGAGATTCTTAAAAATTGTAAGAGATTAATGACGAGTACGTCTGTCGAAGGAAATTTTTTATTAATATTAAATTTAAGTTGTTTTTTGTGTATATTTCTTATTAATAATTAACAAATTAATCACAATTTTGTAGTAGTTAATAATTTATATAAGGTTAACGCTAATAATTAAATCAAAGTGGCCACCAAAACAGCTGTTCAAGTGCTGTCTTTTGAAAGATGTGTTATCACTTTACATTGACTTATATTTAAATGCGTATTTTAAATTATCTTCAAATATTAAAATAATAGAATAAATAAAATAATATATATTTTTTAATTTAAATAATTAAATATTTAATATATAATTTAGATCGATTTTAAGCTCACAAGTTAAGCTATATGTCCACAATCAATGACAGCTGTTTTGTCGCTTTTTGAGTCATGTTATCAATTCACTTTGCCCTTTTATTTATTAATGCCAATTACGAAAACCGTTACTGAGAATACAATTTTATTACAATATATTTCTTATTATAATAAATAAAATTTGTTAATAATTTGTATTAATTTTTTGTTACAATTTTAAATAATGTTGCCATTTATTATTGACAACTGTTCTCGTTGGTGCCATTTTCACATCAGTGTTATCATTTCACTTTACCTAAAGAAAGTAATTTCTTTTACTTTGTTTTTTTTATCAATTTACTGATATTAAAAAAAAAACTGAATATTTCTATTTGTTTGCATTCATAATTATAATATTATATAATAATAATTTATAAAAATTATCTGAAGTTTTTATTATTCTCCATACTTGCTTTACTGACAACTCAAATTGACAATTATGCCTTTCAAGTAAAGTAGTGATACAAAATAAATCAATAAATATAATTATTAAATACATTTATAAAAATTATTAAATTTTGTTACGCTTAAAAAATGTACAATATAAATTAAATTGTCTGTATTTATTCAATTAATTAAAGTTATGTGGCCATTTATTCACAACAGTATCGTTGATGGTCCGTCAGAGCAGTGTTATCAGTTCACTCTATCTTGTTATGTCTAAAACAAACCACAATAATAAAAATAAAATTTGTAGTTTATAATTTGCTATTTTTCACTATATATTTTAATATTGTGTAATATTAAATAATTTTGCTGTGTTTGATCTCAAATTAGAAGCTTAAAGGTCGTTTACATTTAACCGGATTTGGTTAACCCAGTGGGTTTAAATTTTCAATTCCTTTGAATATATGCCAAATAAATCCTCATAAAGTAGGTTAACCCGGTAAAAAGTTCTAATGTAAATGCCGTATTAGTGGCCATTCATTCAGTTGTTATCGTCGATGTTGCTTCAGAGCAGTGTTATCAGTTCAATGACAAAAATGTCAATAATGCCCCAAAAAATACAAAAATAAGAATATAATAATTTAATTTTTAGTTTATAATTTGCTTGAAATTTGTTATTATTTATAATATAAATATATTTGTCTCTTTAGTCTTATAAAGTTTAAAACGGCATACACATTAGAACTTTTTACCGGGTTAACCTACTTAACCTATGAGGATTTATTTGACATATATGCAAAGGAATTGACATTTGAAACCCACTGGGTTAACGAAATCCGGTTAAATGTAAACGTACTATAACAGTTCTTCTCGCTGTTGTCATTCCAAATCTGTGTTATCAATTCACTTTACCTTACTTTGGGCATTGTAAATTAGCATATTGTCAACTATGATCAATAAGAAACTTCAATAATAAGAATAATTTAATTATTAGTTTCTAATATATTTATTAATAACATTACATTATGTTTTTGTTATAATTTAAAATAAGTTTTTTTCTGTGTTTGTTATGGCAATTCATCATAACATCTGCTCTCTTTGCTGTCATTTCAAAGCTGTGTTATCAGTTCACCTTACCTCATTACCTTACTTTGGCAACTGTAAATTAGTAAATTGCCAATTATGACAAATAGGCAATAATTTAATTGTTAGTCTATATTTTAGTAACTAATAATAAATTATGTTACATATTAAACAATTTATAATTAAACATACTTTTCTGTGATATAAATAGAACCCTTTTGGTCATTCATTCATAACAGCTGTTCTCTTAGCTGTCTTTGCTTTGAAATGTTGTGTTATCATTTCCCGTTACCCTAAGAGAGCAATGTTACCACTCGCATTTACTTAGTTTTTATTATTTTAATAAATTCACAGTTTATTTATATACAAAGATGTAAATATATTAATTTATTTGCGTAAATAATTATAAAATTTTATCATAATTTATAAAAATTAACTATAATTCTTAAAATTCCTTATTATTCTCTCTACTTCCTTTGTCTTCAACTGGCAACTCTCAATGACAAGAATATTGACGTTTACTTATTAGGTGAGGTTTTTTTTGATTGAAACATCATTTTTGATGTGCGTTGAGCGACCGAGAGAGAGAGTAGCGAGTTGAGTTAATATTCAAGTTGGAATTGCTTAGAGAACAAGTGACTTTTTATTGAACACACTTATAACACATTAAGAAGTATTTAATTAAGGATAATAAATAAAGTTAAATCACAACAAAAACAACAGGAGGAACAAAGTTAGGAAACAAAATGCCACCCAAGGAACGCAACATTGCCATGATGGGCTATAGATCAGTGGGTGAGTAGTAGTAGAAGTCTACTTCTTTTGTGGTCTGTCGTATGTATGTGTCTGCTGCTGCTCTAATGGGTCGACTTTTCTGTGTGCCTCTGGCTCACTGGCTGGCTGTCCGTCTGTGCCTGCTACCAATCTACCAACAACAACTATATTTTTGTTGTTTTACTTTTTGCGTTTTATTTATTTTTTGTTGATTAATTATTATTGCTTCGTGTTGTTGTTGCTGCTGCTGTCGTAAAACAAAATTTTTAGCCTTTAATTAATTTCCTTATTTTTTTTTTTCTTCTCTTCCCTACCGACAATTTTTAGGCAAATCTTCATTGAGTATCCAGTTTGTTGAGGGACAATTTGTGGACTCCTATGATCCAACTATAGAAAATAGTAAGTAAATCCCCCAACAAATATATAACGTGTGTGCGTGTGTAAACCAAAACATTCAAGCTCCAACAAAAAAGACAAAGTCGTAGTATTTATGTGGATGGGTACGTTTTTTTATTGTTCTTTACACTTAATTCTGGAGATTTCCCTTCAATTATTATTATAGAAACGAAAATATGATTCATGTTTATTTAATGTTTTTTGTTTTGCTTTTAGCAATATAAACTATAAAAACTATTGCGATGTTGCATTTGCAATTATTTTTGCGAATCTGTACTGTAACCTAGTTTACAAAATTAAAGTGTTGGTATACTGCTGGCGCTATGGGTGTTATGTGGAGTTTAGTTGCCTTTTTGTGTCAAGGCTAAAGGCATAATAACCCTGTATAATGTCAAAATACTACAAATACTACTGCTAGCGTTGTATACTATGAATGAGGTGCGTTCCATAAGATCATTTCACGTGCAGGAAAGTAAAAATATTTTTTTGTACAACACGAAGACATGCAATTATAAATTACATTTTTGGTGGTTAGGCTTTTATTGTCACCCCTGGAAAAGGAAGTATTTTGATTTTGTGTGTAGAATTATCTAGTCTCATCTATTCTATTTTTAAGTGTCACCAACAACACGGATAGTGGGATGAGTAAAGGACCACCTTGTCAATTACGTATTAGGAGATATATAGTAAACACATTTTACTGCCTTTCCCACATCCTTGGTAATGAGATGTAGAAAAATCTTTTTAAATACGGAGATGTTTATATTTCAAAAATATATATTTTTAAATAACTAATTATTTTCAGCATATAATCAGCAGTTAGAAATATAAACTTGCAAACATCAGGTGCGATTCTGATGAGATGATTATGAGAACTCAAAATATGAAATTAGATATACCGAATAATGGGGGTACTGTTATATGAGGATTAGCCTTTAAATGTAGACCAACATTCAAGGAGTATCCAAAATATCATATTTCGATTGAAAAACCCGAATAACATGGGATAATGTTGTAAAATGGTTATCTCGAACATTGCCCAACTATTGATAATTTTTTTGCTAGAGAGCTTTTTGTACCAAATGAAAAACCAAATTGATAAAATTACAGGCAATTTGTATGAAAAAGATACCTAAAATCACAGAAATATTGAATTTTTGGGAGGTATCCTTATATGGGGGCTAACCTAAAAAGAGGACCAATGTGGATAATTTTTGGTAGGAAGATTTGCTATCCCAGGAGAACCCAAAATATCAAATTACAACCAATTTGAATGGAAAATGAGACTAAATTCCGCAATATACCGAAATTCGGGAGCTACTATTGTATGGGGGCTATCCTAAAAATTGGACCAAACAACATTTTTTTTGTAGGAAGATTTGCCATTTAATGAGAACCCAAAATACCAAATTTCAGACAATTTGAATGACAAATAAGAATAAAATTCTCAAAATATCGAAATGTAGGAGGTACCCTTATATGTGGCTACCCTAAAAATTGGACCAATGTGTAATTTTTGGTAGGAAGTTTTGCCATCCAATGAGGACCCAAAATCCCAAATTATAATCAATTTGAATGAAGAATGAGACTAAACTCCGCAATATACCGAAATTCGGCAGCTACTTTTGTATGAGGGCTATCCTAAAAATTGAACCAAACTAGACAATTTTGTTGTAGAAAATATGTTATCCACTGAGAACCCAAAATACAATTTGAATGAACAAAAATAAGAATACAATTCTCAAAATACCGAAATGTAGGAGGTACCCTTATATGGGAGCTAAAATAAAAAGTGGGCTAATATAGATAATTTTGCCATCCAATGAAACCTAACTCCGCAAAACTAAACTCCGCAATATTCCGAAATTTAGGAGGTACCATTATATGGGTGCTAAACTAAAAATGTTACAAATTATCCTGGCCTGCTGAAGGTCTTCATCGAAGGGCTGAAGGTCTTATTCTTCTTCATAGAAGAGCTGAAGGTCTTCTTCATAAAAGAGCTGGAAGTCTTCTTTTTCATAGAAGAGCTGGAGGTATTCTTTACTTCATAGAAGAGCTGAGGGACTTCACTTCATAGAAGGCTGAAGGTCTTCTTCTTCATATTTGAAAGTATCCGCTCCTATGGTGGACCCTTAAAAAATATTTAAAAACGCCCTTTCGCCTTAAATGGATCCTTAAAAAATATTTTTAAATATCCACCCCTTTGTGGGAACCTTAAAAAAATAGCTAGAAATATCCATGACTATAGCGGATCCTTAAAAAATATTTTTAAATATCCACCCCTTTGCGGGAACCTTAAAAAATAGCTAGAAATATTCATGACTATAGCGGATCCTTAAAAATATTTAAAAATATTCACGTCTATGGTTGAAAATCCACGCCTGTGGTAGATACCAAAAAAAAAAATATGTTTAAAAAATCCACGCCTATGTTTGGAGCTTAAAACATATTTAAAATTATCCACGCTTATGTTTGGACCTTAAAAACTCCTACGGTGGACCCTTAAAAATATTTTTAAAAAATCCACGCCTATGTTTGAACTTGAAAAAAAATTAAGTCTATGTTAGCATTTAAAAAAAATCCAAGCCTATGTTTGATTAGAAAAATTATATTTTTTGTAATAATTATTTTTCTTTTCTTTTTTTCCTTCCAGCATTTACAAAAGTGACACGTGTTAATTCACAAGATTATGGCGTTAAACTTGTGGACACCGCCGGCCAGGATGAATATAGTATATTTCCAGTACAATATAGTATGGATTTTCATGGTTATGTTTTGGTCTATTCGATAACCAGTCAAAAATCATTTGAAGTTATTAAAATTATTTATGAAAAATTATTAGATGTTATGGGCAAGAAATAGTAAGTAACCACACCCCACCCACACTTCCCATAAATAAATATTAATTTCAATTTTTTTTATTTTATATAGTGTACCTGTTGTGTTGGTAGGCAATAAAACTGATTTACATCAAGAACGTACCGTATCCACAGAGGAGGGTAGAAAATTGGCCGAATCGTGGCGTGCTGCATTTTTAGAAACTTCTGCTAAACAAAATGAGGTAACGGGAGAGATACTGTTTTTAATTTTGAATTGCAGTTATTTCATATAATTTATTTAATTTAACTAATTGTTTTTTGTTTTGTTTTTTAGTCTGTGGCTGATATTTTCCATCAGCTGTTATTATTAATCGAAAATGAAAATGGCAATCCCCAAGAAAAGAGCAGCTGTATAATTTCGTGAGTTGTTACCATATTGTGATGGATCTACTAAAAGGCTGGCTGGCTGGGGCGGCTATCAAAGAATGGAGTCACAACAACAACAAAACAATTCATGGCGCATCATCGTATCATTTTTTCAAAATACAAAACAACAAATCAACAAGAACAATGGCTGTTTGCCTCAAATGCAACAAAAAAGGAAAGGAAATAAAAAACAAAAACAAATAAATAATAAAGTGAAGGAAGTATGAAGAAGAAGAAAATAAATTGGTAATCAGTAATAAAAAAACGGATTTGTTTTCTCAGCTGTAGTGTTTATGTAGCATAAATAATAATAACAATAATTCTCGACTATTCTTCTTATTTTATTTTTAATAATTAAATAAATTTTCTTTTTTTTTTTAATTTTAGTAGCAAAAACCAATCACTAACCCAACCCCCAAACAAAGCAATTAAATATAAGTAATCCCGCCTTATTTTTTTTCAAATGTCCAAAAAAAAAAAAAAATGGTTTAATATGTTTTGTTTTCTTTTTATCAATTTGCCACGGCCTTTCTTTGTTTGAGAAATTACCAATACAATTTATTTTCATTAATTTAGTTGCAATTTTTATTTCTGAAATAGTTTAGTTTTATTTTTCTATGAAATTAAAATTTGTATCTGTTGTATTTACATAAAAAAACAAAACAAAATTAAACATAAAAACACACACACAAAGACAAAGAGGGCGTTTATATAGATTTTAATTTACAATAAAAAAGAAGATATCAATAAAAATAAAAAGTTAATAATAGTCATTATATTGTGCAAAATATTGTTTTGGTGGAAAGTTCATTTTCAGATAAGGTCCAAGGATCTCTAGTTAAAAGACCTACAAGTTATTTCCATAGCTAAATGTCTTCTTCTGAAGGTCTTCTCTTTAGAAGATCAAAAGGCCTTCTTCATAGAAGACCAATGGCTTTCTTCATATTAGAAAAAAAATCTTCTCTGAGACTTAGAAGAGCTGCTAGAGGTCTTCTTCTTTATAGAAGGCTTGAAGGTCTTCCTCATAGAAAAGCTGAAGGTCTTCTTCTTCATAGAAAAGCTGAAGGTCTTCTTCTTCTTCATAGAAGAGCTGAAAGTCTTCTTCTTCATAGAAGAGCTGAATGTCTTCTTCTTCATAGAAGAGCTGAAGGTCTTCTTCTTCTTCATAGAAGAGCTGAAGGTCTTCTTCATAGAAGAGCTGAAGGTCTTCTTCTTCATAGAAGAGCTGAAGGTCTTCTTCATAGAAGAGCTGAAGGTCTTCTTCTTCATAGAAGAGCTGAAGGTCTTCTTCTTCTTCATAGAAGAGCTGAAGGTCTTCTTCTTCTTCATAGAAGAGCTGAAGGTTTCTTCTTCTTCTTCATAGAAGAGCTGAAGGTTTCTTCATAGAAGAGCTGAAGGTCTTCTTCTTCATAGAAGAGCTGAAGGTCTTCTTCTTCATAGAAGAGCTGAAAGTTTTCTTCTTCTTCATAGAAGAGCTGAAGGTCTTCTTCTCCTTCATAGAAGAGCTGAAGGTTTTCTTCTTCATAGAAGAGCTGAAGGTATTTTTCTTCATTGAAGAGCTGAAGGTCTTCTTCTTCTTCATAGAAGAGCTGAAGGTTTTCTCCTTCATAGAAGAGATGAAGGTCTTATTCTTCATAGAAGAGCTGAAGGTCTTTTTCTTCTTCATAGAAGAGCAGAAGATCTTCTTCATAGAAGAGCTGAAGGTCTTGTTCACAGAAGACTGTCGAATCCAAATGGATCTCGAATCTCTCTCGAATTGGAAACAAGTTTGGCAGTAGATGGCGAAATTGTTTGATAATTATTGGGAAATTATTGGTAACTTTGGGAAATTGTTGAGAACTCTGCAAAAACCGTGAATATCAAATTAGAGTCACGAATAGAACGGTTAAAACTTTCAATGGGAGCTATGTCAAAATATGGAATCGTATTGAAATTGTTCTGAAAACTATGTTTTTCATATTCCGTGTTCGAGAAATGGCAACCTTCCTTGAGCCGAGAGAATGGCAACCTTCATGGGAGCCTTTCAAAACATGGATCCATATAAAAAATTATTCTGAAAAACTAATTTACAACAAATTTGTTGGGAAAATTCGGATAAAAAATCTTACAAATCTTGCTGTCGAACCAAAATCTTGCTGTAATTGTTGATCGGAATCTGATCTACATCGATCATAATGTGAAAATGGCTCTCGAATCTATCCCGAATTGGAAATAAGTATGGCATTAGATGGCGAAATTGTTTGGCAATTAGTTTGGTATATTGGGAGCTATGTAAATAACATGGACCCATATCATTCTAGGTCAATGTTTGACATAGCTTCAAGAATCCGAATAGTCCAATTATAGGCCATTTGAAAATCTCGAAATTTTGAAAAGTGGGTTTACCCCTTGTGCAATAATACGAAGTAGGACAAATAGAGGTGAATAAAAAAACCAGCTATGTATGTAGTGGCTTCTTCTGCCAAAAATAGAAAAATGTATGTGAAGATAAAACGTTATCGATATTTTTTGGTACGAAGATTTTCCATCCAATGAGAATCCAAAATATCAAATTATAGCCAATCAGCTGCTCTCTTACAGAACCTACAAGAATCTTGGATCTTAAAATAGTTTTCAATTTTCCCCTTTAAACGGCATTTACATTAGAACTTTTTACAAGGTTAACCAACTCTATGGGATATACAAGTATGCAATGGAATTGACAATTGAAACCCACTGGTTTAACGAAATCCGGTACAATGTAAATGCACTATTATAAGAACAGACAACATATAAGGTCTTTTCCCGTACTGCAGAGATTCTACTAGATTTAACATTTTTTTCGATATTATAAAGAACGTTTCGTTATCGTAGTAAAAAGTATTAGATTCTTGCAGTACGGGAACAGATCCATTATCATTAAAATTTTTATTTTGATCCGGAACCTGCAGAAATTTGCTATTAATCAAACATTTTTTTTTTCAATTTTCCCTATATAATAATCAAATAAATTTCACTATTTTCATCTGCCAGAATTTACTATATTACAAATAGTTCCTTTTTGATATCAAAAAAAAAAATAGTACAATTTACAATTGGTCTGTTTCCGTACTGCAAGAATCTACTAATTTTTACTATGATAACGAAATTTCCTTTTTGAAATCGAAGAAAATAGTATAATCTAGTAGATTCCTGCTGTACGGGAACAGACCAAATATATAAAAATTATTAAATTACTTCTGTACGGGAACACACACAAATGGTATTCATAATTTAAAATAATACACATTTTAATTATAAACCAATTTTATTTCATTATACATTGATAAATTTGATCAATTCATGTAACAACCAAGCCACTTAACGTTTGTTTTCTCAAAATTCCTCCATTCGATAAATTTCCCCCCACAAAAGCAAAACTATCGATAACATCGATTTGTGAACAAAAAACGATTTATAGAACCCTACAACATTTAAGCAGCAACTCGTCAGTTATAGTTCGTGTGTTGTCCAAGTGAAGAACATATTAACGAAATTTTTTGATAGTGCTATTAATTAATTCGAATAAAAAACGTACAATTCCTTTTATTAATTATGCATTTGTGTGTGTGAAACAACAATTTGATTTTGCACAAAACAACAACAGCAAACGACGGAAAACATATCATCATTATTCTCTCGGGGTAAACAAATCAACAAAAGAAGAATCAATGCCAGAAAAATAGGTTTAATTCTATTGCAGTGCAACGTAATTAACAAAACGAAAATAGAAAAAGAGATGTTTTAAATGTGCATAATAAATATATAGAAAGGAAAAGAAGAAACAAAAACAAAGGAAATAAAAAAATTAACGAAATAGTTTTTTTTTGCTGTGGCGAAATATAGCAGTACGAAAATAAAAAGAAGTTAACGCGAGTGTTGGTTGTACGAATAAAGGAAATAAGCAAATAACAAACAAACAGAGGAAGAAAAAAAAGGTTAGCAACATAACGTATTTTTAGTGAATTTTTTGTGTGCCAGTGTTTCTTTATTGTTTAAGTGAGTGAGTGTGTGTTTGTGTGTGCCAGAGACTGACTGACTGGAAATGAGACAAATCCAAAAACAACAACAAAAAACAGATTGTGATACCTAAGCTTAAAGGAGAAAAGTGGTTAAACGGGTTACCTAATTAAATAATTTTATTTCATTTTGTTGTTGTTGTTATTAGTAAATCACAAACTAAAACAAATATGAATATCAAAAACCAATCATTAAAAATTGGCCAGCAGACTAACTGACATTCGCTGACAGACAACAAAATACACCACTAAACAAAAACAACACAGGCAGACAGGCGCGTCTTACAAATAAAGGTTGTTGTTGTTGCTGTTGTTTTTGTTTTGCTGTGGACAACAAAGAAGTGCATATGAATGTTGCAAAAGGAAGTTATTGTCAATTTTCTTTTATCTCTCGGTGTAAATAAGGAAGGCAGACAGCTGCTGCTCGAAATGGAGGGGTTTTCTTGTTTTTTTGGGTAGTAATGACAATCAACAGGGTTGCCAGTTGTTTATTTCGGTATTTGTGTACGAAACGGGAAGAAGTGTTGTAAATTCACTATATAACAAGGTTTATACAAAAATGGAAAAAAATGTATTGATGGAAATGTGTAAAGTAAAATATTTAAAAAATGTCAACTTATAAATAAAAAAATGTAGCAGATATCCTTGCCACTAGATCATATGGGAAATTTATATGTTATACAAGCTATGTATGCAAATTTGAAATTAATGAATAACATAACACGATCCAAAAATGTTCAAAGCTAAACTATAGTAAAAATTATCAGACGTTCCTGATTTTATGGGATTTTAACCGGTTAAATCCCCCAAGACTATGAAGCATTCCAATAATTTCGATCAAATCTCGTTTTTATTCAATTAATAGTGCGTTTACATTGTACCGGATTTCGTAAACCCAGCGGGTTTCAATTGTCAAAAGTTCTAATGTAAATGTTGTTCCGGAAATTTATGCAAATTTTAATCCAAATCTACC